ATATATATATATATATATATATTCATATGTATATAATATATATGATAGGATGGGTATTGATATTATCTGTTTTATTCGGGCTTAGCAGCTGGACGCAGAAAATGTGCACGTAAACGACACGTCCTGAGTTTACTTCACTTCTTTTTCAGAAGGATTTAATAGTGTTTATTTATTTTTCTGTCCTTTGATTTTCATTTAATTTATGCCAATATCCATACATTTATTGCCTACCTGCGGGAGTTGCGCTTCGTACAGCTGTGCATCGAGCGATCCTCTCTTTCTGTGTTGTTTTCTGATATGTTCCCAAGTTTGAATTAAACAAAGTTGAATATTAGAAGAAAGGGTTTTTTCAAAATGTTCCTCTGCTGAGAAAGATTCCTCCTGAAGCCACTCCAGCATTTCTATTTCTTCTTCCGGTCCTAGACGAGGCAATCTGCTCTCCAGTAAATCAGCGGAAACCTCGCGCGAAAAAGCATTTTGCTTCAATATTTTGATTAATTCAGTTGCGGTAGGCTCCATTATTATAATGTGTGATGCAATAAGCAACAAAAACCATAAAATAAGATGTGCAGGCGGCCTTCCTTGTGATTTGCACGTTTCAATTAACGACCTGCCTATACACCCCAACGCTTAACCTTCATTTCGTTGCGGAATCATCTTCATTTGTTTTTCTCCAATTAACTAAATCTATAAAGAGCCTTTTGCAGCTTTCTGTTTATTGTAATTCGTGCGCAGAGGAGCCGCTTTATCGTTTTGTTGCTCTTTATTTCTTCTGTCTACAGTTCAACTCCACATTTCTAACGAATTACCTTATTTAGAAAACAAAAAGGTTTACTTCCAAACCTTTACAATAATCAAGCATAAGTGCAGGTTTAAAAAAAAACAGATTTAATATTCGCTGCTTCCTCTGTCCTACACTGCCAAGAGCAGCAGTATATCCCCGTCTTTAATCATTTTCTTTAATTATTTAAATTCACACCATCAGACTAAACTGAGAACGCCCAGACGACCACGAGACGTTCGCTCGAGGAGGCAGCTCAAACAGCCGCAGCCGCGCAATAATCTTTAACAGCTGCAGCAGCTCCTGCCTCTGCTGGCGCTCTCTGTCTCCCCTGTCTAAGCCGGAGGGCCCCCGAGGGGCCCCCATAGGAAGCTCCTTAGGGGGCTTAGCAGCCCCGATGGAGGCCTTTCCTGGAAGCACTTGCATGCAAGCAAAAGGGGGGTCTACGCCGCGTTGTGTTCTGTCTAACAACTGCTTTTGACTTAGACTGGAGAGCAGTCGCTTTATTGCTGTTTGCAGCACCGTCCTTTCTTCTTGCGAGAAGCAATCTGAAAACAAGGAGACAAACAAGCATAAGCTGTTCAATTGAAATAACGAGAAGAACATAAACAGCACAAAAAGAGAAACAACAGCTGCATGCATTGAGCTGTACATACACCTCAACCCCCAACGTCTCACCCCTCAAGTTGCAGGCCCGCCGCATCACTGAAGAAAACCATCGAGTCCCCAAAGTCCCAGACCGCAGCGTCTGAGGCAACAATATCAGCAGCAGCAGGTGCAGCAGCAGCAGTAGCAGGTGCAGCAGCAGCAGCAGCAAGAGCAGATGCAGCAGCAACAGGTGCAGCAGCTCAGGCAGCAGCACAGACGGAGCAACGTCGGCCTCACAGGTGGCTCTAGCAGCACGCGGCGATGCAGCAGCAGCAACCAATGCAGCAGCAGAAGCAGCAGCAGCAGCAAAGTAGCTGCCCTTATGATATGCAGAATTGCAGCTACAGCAGCAATCGCAAGGGTTTAGGGATTAGGGTTTAGGGTTTACCGCGGCAACAACGTGCATCACGTCTGCTGGTTCAAGTTGTGCTGCTTTTGCTGCTGCTGCCTGCAGCACATGAGCCTGTGCAGCAGCAGCAAGCTGCAGCAAGCGCTCGAGCGTTTGTCTCTCTTCTTGCCCCCCTGCTGCTGCTTCTCCTGCTCCTGCTGCCGTTGCTGCTGTTTCTGCTGCTGCTGCTGCTGCTAGGGCAGCTCTTATATTATCAATTGCAGCAAAACTCAACTCTATGGAGGCCCCCTTCATTGCATGCAGCGGCGAACGAAGCACCGCACGAAGACACAACTGGCATAGAGCAAACCAATCCAACGCAGCAGACTCTCTGCTGTTGCTGCTGCTGCTGCTGCTGTTGCTGCTGCTGCTGCTGCTGTTGTTGTTGTTGCTGCTGCTGCTGCTGCTGTTGGTGATGCTGCTGCAGCTGTTGTTGTTGTTGCTGCTGCTGCTGCTGCTGTTGCTGCTGCTGGTATTTGTCTCTCCGGAAGCCAGCAGCAGCACCAGCTGCGAGCAGACGAAAGCAGCATTTAACTCTTCTTCTCCTTCATTAGCAGACATCATCAGGGGCCCCGCACACTGCAGCAGAACCTCCAGGGGGGCCCTCGCTTGCTGCAGTTGGGCGTTAGGGGGCCCCCTTGAGCTTAGCAGCAACTCTAAAACAGCAAACGGCTTGCTAGAAACAACAGGAAAGAGCGACGCAGCACCAGCAGCAGCAGCTCCTGCTGCTGCAGTACTCGCGGATTCTGCTGCTGCAGTACTTGCTGCTGCTTCTCCTGCTGCTCTGGCTCCTGTTCTTGATGCTCCTTCTGCTGCTGCTGCTGCTGCTGCTGCTGTCAGGGCTTGAACGCACTCAGGTATGATGGGTAGCAGCGCTTGGCTCTGCAGCACAGTCAATTTGCTGCTGTCTTCACTTAGATGGATGAAGGGTTGCAGCAGCAGCAGCAGCAGCAAACGCGTTTGCGAGGAGAGTGCAGCAAAAGGAAGGTCCTGCGGTGCTGTTCCTGCCGCTGCTGCTGATCCTGCTGCTGCTGCTTCTGATGCTGCTGCTGCTGCTGCTGATCCTGCTGCTGCTGCTGTTGCAGCAGGTGCTGCGGAGTCGGCGAGTTCCTGCAGCAGCGCAGCAGCAAGGTTATGTGCTGGCTGCTGCATGCATGCATTTGCTTGAACGTAAGCAGAAGCAGCAGATACAGCAGAAATCAGAGGGTCTCCTTGAATGTAAATAAGGGCTCCGCGGTGTATATACAGCTTCTGCAGCAAACGCTTCCAGGGGCCCCTGCTGCTATACATCTTCCTTGCATGCATATCCTTGAGACGTGCAGCAGTAGCTTCAACTTCTGCTGCTTCTCTGCGTGAAACAGCTGCCTGCTGCCCCAATGTAGCCATAGAAGAGAAGCTACTAGTTGCAGACAAGCAGCACCAAGGGTCCCTTCTGCTGCTGCTGTTGCTGCTGCTGTTGCTGCTGCTCAGCAGCAGCAACAAATGAACCAGGGGCCCTCCTAGTGCTGCTGGGGGCCCCTCAATCACGGGGGCCCCCCAGGGGCCCCCAAAGGCCTTACAACCCCTAGGGGGCCCCCCATTGGGGGCCCCCAGGGGGCACCTATCTGAATAAAGAGTTAAAGTCTTCTTAATTTGTATAAAAGGCGAGGAAGGAAGAGGAAAAGAAGAGGGCCCCACGAAGGAGGGGCCCCCTCTTAGTATTTGTTTGTTTAGGAGATTCATTTATCATTGTGTTTTGTTTGTTTTTGTTTTAATTTTAGTTTTTATTATCTGTCTTTTTTTATTTTCTGACTTTGTTTGATTGAGAAGGAGAGAGAGGGAGAGAAGAGTAAGATGGTCAAATTAAATTAAACATAAAGAGCTCGAAGAGAAAGAAAGAAGGAAACGAACAAGAAATAAATAAATAAACCAATAAATAAACTAATAAACAAATAAATTTATTTATTTATTTGTTTATTTATTTATTTTTACAGACAAATAAAGAGTAAACAAACTGTACAAAAAAAAGAGAAGATTGAGTGAGAGGGCCGCAGTGCAGCCCTCACATTCTTTGCCTTTTTCCTAATTCTTAGCTTCAAACAAAGAAAAAAACTAAATAAATAAATATTAAAAACCTTAAAATATATATATTAATATATATAGTACAATATTAATATATTTATTTAACTAAATGCAGCAGAAGAATTATTGAGGGGCCCCCCTATTGCTGTAAAAAGCCCCGGTTGTATGCAGGCGTGGGGCTTATATACATCTCCTCAGAATATTTGTTTGTATTTTTCTTTGTTTTTCTTTTGTTTTTCTATTTGTTTGTGTTATTATTAATTAATTAATTAATTATCTGCGTCTTTTGCTGTGATATGCAGCGGTAGTTGTACGAGAAGAAAAGAAGAAAGTCAGACAGTAGAGAGCAGCAAGAGAGAAGAAAGAGCTTGGGGTGTATATATATATATATATATATATTTGTTTGTTTTATTGAAATCATTTATATTATTAATTACTCACTTTTAAGAGCATTCTCCTCCAACAGCCATTGAGACAGTACTAAAACCTCTCTATCTTCTTTTGTTTCTTCTTTCTTCTTTCTTCTTCTCTTTATTTTATTTTATTCTTATTTAGCGTTAGAAGGATGGAAGACGCAGAGGGATTTACAGCAGTGCGGCGCAGGCGAAGAGGCCCGAAAAAAGCAGCAGCCGCTGCAGCAGCAGCGCCAACAGCAGCAGCAGCAGCAGCAACAGGAGCAGGGCCTTATGCTGTTGGAGATGGGGGCGATGAAGAGAAATTTGAACACATCGATGCAGATGCTGAAGGGTTACTGAAGCGGCTGCCGCCAGAAGCAGCAGCAGCAGCAGAAGCAGCAGATGCAGCAGCAGCAGCAGATGCAGCAGCAGGCATGGAGGAGGAAGCGAGCGATAATGGAGACGAAATGGAGGAAGAAGCTGACGCAGCAGCAGCAGCAGCAACAGGAACAGCAGCAGCAGCAGCAGGAGGCGCCCCCCAGCGGCCTAAAGGGCCCAGGAGGAAGCAGCAGCAGCAGCAGCAGCAGCAAAAGCAAGATAAAGATGAAGCCTTTATTAGGAGATTGCCTGTACCTCAGCATCGTTATACTCCTTTGAAACAGCAATGGGTGGAGCTTATTAAACCCTTAGTCATGCACATGCGGCTGCAAGTAAACCATAAACCCTAAACCCTAAACCCTAAACCCTAAATGTAATGTATACGGCCTTGCTGCTCTCATAGCAGCAACAGGAAACCCTGAACCCTAATCGCATTCTGCTAGGCTATGCTGCGGTTGTAGCAGCAGAAGGAAATATATAAATATATACATGTTTATATATATATAATATATTATAAAAGGTATATATATCATTATATGTTAGTTTGTCGTTTTCTTGCTCATTAATTTATGTGCACATTTGTCTATTTTATTTATTTTATTTATATTATTTATTTTATTTATATTATTTATTTATTTTATTTATAGCTGATATATATATATATATATGCATCCACTTAGTGGCTGAGCATTATTTATTTATATATTTTTGTTTATTTTCTTTGTTTTATTTTATTTTTTTAATTTTATTTTAATGTATTTTAATTTATTTGCTGTAGGTGCGGATGAACTTAAAGCGGCGATGCGTGGAGCTGCGTGCAGCGCCTCCTCCAGCAGCAGCAGCAGGAGGAGGTGCAGCAGCAGGTGCAGCAGCAACAGCAGCAGCAGTATATATGCAGCAAGGAGAAGACAATGTACGTTTAGGAAAGGGTGCAGATTATATAAGAGCTTTCTTATTAGGGTTTGAACAGAGAGATTGTTTAGCTTTACTTCGTTTAGAAGATATATATTTAGAGTCTTTTGAAGTGCAAGACGTGAAACGGCTTAACGGAGCCCACCTCTCGAGGTAAATATTAAACAACAAATAAAATTATATATTATTTGTCTTTTTATTTTCTTGCTAATATTCTTTTCATCGCTTTGTTGCTGTTGGTCTTGAGCTGTCTTTGTCTTGTTTGCTTTTAGTGCTCTGCTCTCTGCTTTTTGCGTTGGTGCCGCCGTTCTTGCTGCTGCTGCTGTTGCTGCTGTTGCTGTTGCTGCTGCTGCTTTACTGTCATTGCTGCTGCTGCTGCTGTTCTTGCTGCTGCTGCTGTTGGTGGCGTTGTTTAAATTCTTTTCTCTGCTTTGTTATTTTGATTGTTTTGTTATTTTTATTTATTTTGTTTTTGTTTGATTTTTTGTTTTTGTTTGATTTTTTTGTTTTTGTTTGTGAGGGTGATTCTGATGTCTCACTGTCTGTGTATGGATTTAGCATTCATCTATTTATTTATTTGTTTTTCTATTTACTTGTTTATTTATTTGTTTATTTTATTAATGATTATGAGTTTATCATGTATTCGCATTGCCTGCGTGTGGATTATATAAAAGAAATATAAATATAAACTAAGTATAAAATTAAATAAAATATAAATATTCATAAGAATATAAGTATATTAGCATTATATATTAAAGCATTTATATATTTATATTTATATAATCATACATATACATTGATGCATTAATATGTATATATATTTATTTCTACAACTTGTCTTTATATCATTTACCTTATCTGTGTCTTGAATTATACATATATATATATATATATATATTAATGCATAATATAATAATTATATGTAATTGAATATCTTAATTGTTTCTGTTTTTCAGGTGTATAGGCAGGTTGAGTGGTCGTAATGGTGCAACACGTTTTGCAATAGAAAATGCAACACGAACACGAGTAATAATAGCAGGCCGACGTATTCATATTTTGGGTTCTTTTGATTGTATTCGTCTTGCAAGACATTCAATTTGTTCTCTTATTCTTGGGAAGCCCCAAGGAAAGGTGTATGGACATCTTCGAACTGTTGCAAAAAGGCTTAGTCAACGCATGTAATATGTGTGATTAATCTGCATATTTTAATATCATTCAACACTTCTTTTCCTTTATTATTAATATTATATATAAATATATATATATATATGTGGATGCAACAAATAAATTACTACGATTATTACCATTTGCGAGAGGGTTTAGGGTCTAGGGTTTAGGGTTTACAAGGACTTTTAATTCGGGGTTTTGATTTTAGGGTTTAGGTTTTAGGGTTTAGGGTTTAAGTTGACGCAGGAAGGGATGATGTTCTTGGGCGTAGGCTTCAGGCAGAGCATAGGGTTTAGGGTTTAGGGTTTTAGGTTAAGGTTTTATGATTTAGGTCTTAGGGTTAGGGTGTATGGGGGGGATAGGGTTTTAGTGTTTACGGATCTAGGGTTTAGGGTTTAGGGTTTACTTGGGGCCCAGGAAGGCTACGCAGAGATGCGTTCATCTCTAGGCCTGAACGTTTAAATAAATTGCTCCTGTAGTTATGCATATACCATTCAAAGGAATAATAATAACAATAATGTTTAGGGTTTAGGGTTTAGGGTTTAGGGTTTAGGGTTTAGGGTTCAGCGTCTTATAATGCGCATCCTCCAACTAAATGACGAAGAAGCAAACAAAAATTATAATTCGTTCATATACTCCAAATAAAACGCTCGATGCAACCCTAAACCCTAAAACCCTAAACCGTGGATGCTGAAACATACAACAACAATGAAGATAATAATAATATAATGCATATGTACAACTTTTTTTAAGATCTTAGTATAATTAGAGATCTATGCTGATGTGATGTACAAATAAAAATAATATTAAATGCTATTGCATGCAGCAGTAATAATGCATTATTAACAAACTACACTATAATAACAATACTTTTTTAATTCTACTCTTACTATTAAAAGCTTGAATACATCGATTCGTACAAAACGCTCCTCGGTTCTAACCATATATATATATATAGTACATATATATATATATATATATATGCATGTATATATATACATGTATACATATACATGTATATATATACATTTATATATATACATGTATATATATACATGTATATGCATGCATGGATACATGTGTATATATGCATATGATAATGTAGGTAACGCCAATATGATCAAACGCAAAGCCACAGAGTTATATATTATATATATAAATATATGTATATATATATATATATATATGTATATACATATATATATATATATATACATATATTCCTTTTTGTGGTTGTCTTGTCTGATCTTGACTGCATCTATATGAATCTATTATTATTTAAAACCAAAATGACTATCTACTTTTTTATTTTGTAGCTGTTCTATTTATTTATTTTGCAGTTGTTTCATTTCAATGCCTTGCAGCTGTACTACTAGCGGATGTTTGTCTCCTCTATTACAAATATAACTTATATATAATATATATTATATATATTATATATATTATATAATATATTTGTATGCGGTGTACCCATTAATAAATTTTAATATTGATTTGGTAGTTCTTATAACACCGCCTTTGAGCGTTGTTATAAAGTTTGTTCAGTTGGGGAGAAAAAGTTAATGAATAAACAAATATTATATTATATATTATATATATACATTATATATGCATATATAGTTGTACTGTCTACATGTGCATATAGAATACAATATACATGTTACTGAAGGATCTATAAAGATGTATAAGGATATATAAGGGTTTATAAGGACTTAAAAGGGTTTATGAGTGTTTTATTAGGGTGTATATATATATATATTTATAACGATTTATAAATGTTTAAAGGCATTAATAAGGGTTTACAGGCATATATAAAGGAGTACAGGCATATATAAGGGTTTATAAAGGATATACTTTATAAGGGTTTATAAGGGTTTATGAGGGTTTGTGAGGGTTTATAAGGGTTTAGTTGTATGTCTCCCATTCAGTTTGAGTTGCTGTCTGTGTTTGAGGTTCCTCAAGATGTTCAGGTGTATAGACAGTATTGCGTGGGGTGTCTGTGTTGCTGTAGTAGGTAGGGGTATTAAGAGTTTCACTTCTTTGTCCTGTTCTTCTCAAACTGTTTGTAGATGTAGAGCGGGTCTGCACACCGGAGATAGACATACGCCCACCTAGAGAAGCAGTAGTAGTAGTAGTATCTTCTTCTTGCTGCTGCTGCTGCTGCTGCTGCTGAGAGGAAGTAGAAGCATTTATATCAGGAACTTCAAGCCTTCTATAGAAGGAAGGGTAGCTGTAGCTGTAAGGATAGCTATAGCTGTAGGTGTATGGATAGCTATAGCTGTAGCTGTATGGATAGCTGCTGTAAGTATAGGGATATGAATACAAGGGTCTGCTGTAATAGCTAAAAGGAGCATAGCTGTAGCGAGGGTAGAAAGAATAAGGTGTATAATAAGAGTAAGATGAATAATATCTTGTGTATGGAGAGGCCCAGCCTAACCCTCTATTGGGAGGACGAAGAGGTGTATCTGCATCTTCAGGAGAAAACCACGGGTGAATATCTTCAACTGGTGCTGCAGGTGCAGCAGGAGGAAGCATTTCTGCTAGTGCTTCTGCTGCTGCTTGTCTTAGTGCTGCTGCTGCTGCTGCTGCAGGAGGAAGCGCAGCACTTCCTTCTCCTTCAGCAAGACGTCTGTAGTATCCATGCTTGTGCCCGTGCTTGCCGTAGTATCCCCTAGAATAATAATAAGTGGGGCCCCAGCTGTAGCTGTAGTAAGTGGGGTAAGCAAGAGGCTGCATATACACCGGAGGTGCATAGGTGTAGCTGTACATCGGGTAGCTGTAATAGCTATAAGAAGGATATCCATAGCCGTAATAACCACCGCCATATCCCTTCTTTCCTAGACTTCGAGTTGGTGGGGTGTCTTGACAGTTATCTAGAAGCCCTGATACACCCCTACGAGAGCAGTTTCTCTGTCTTGGGAGTAATCTCGTAATCTCTTCTTCAGTAAATCCTGTTGCAGCCAGTCTGTCGTGCATGCGTACAAGAAAACCTTCAACAGCTTGAGTTGTAGCTACTTGTAAGGAATCTTCTTCTAGTACCCAAGGTCTTTCTTGTGCATCACGCAGCACGGCCCACAGAGTCTCTAAGACAGCTTCCTGTACCATTATCTCTCTAAGGAAGTCGTTTGTAACTCCGCGGAGAGCAGCAACAGGTCCTGCTGCTGCTGCTGCTGCTGCTGAGGCTGTTGTAGGCCTAGACCCCATTGTAGATGCCTCCATATCTGCTGCTGATGTGATTACGCTCCCAGTAAGGCGATCGCGTACACGACCGACAATGTTTCTGACAGCTTCTGCTGCAGTGTCTACTGTCTCCCATCCAGGCATTACAAGAGAAGTACGGAACATGTTTTGAATCTCTTGCATTATTGCTTCAAGTGCTGCCTCTGGCATAGTAACAGGCTGCGGCTGCTGCTGCTGCTGCTGAGGCGGCTGAGGCTGCTGCTGGGGAGTCTCGGGTGTCATAGGGGTTGGAGAGGCAGCCTCCATCATGCGGACACCAGTGCTGCTGCCGCTGGTGCTGCCCATCTCCTCTACAGAGACTTCAGCATCAATGGGGGTCTCCTCAGTCCACTCCATTGTAGGGGTTGCTGTACCCTCAAGAACAGTCGGCAAGGCAAGGCTGCCTCCCGCTGCTGCCAGGGCCAAAACCCCGGCAAGAGCTGCCGCTCGCGTCATTTTCGTGGTGGTGCTGCTGCTGCGGTTGCTGCTGCTGGTACTAAGGGGGGGGTGGGTATGTCTTTGTGTTGGGTTGTTGGTGGGGAGGTGAACGGGAATTGTGTGAAAAGAAGATGATTATTTAAATGCGTCTGAAGCAGCAGCAACAATGCACAAGGAAGAGGTGTTAGCGAGGGGGAGAGGTAGGAGAGACAGACAGACAACGCGTAGCTGCAGCTGCGCCGCTCGTCTTCTCTCGCCTGTCTCACTCCCTATTAGACAGCGACAAATAACGTAAATCGTCTATCTAAATAGATAAATTTAGCCTTTTATTTTTCTTTTAGTGTTGTAAATAAAACAACAACACGCATTTCTTCCAAAGAGCATCAAGCCAGCCCAAGTGACCACGAGCAGCAGTTCGCCAGAACCCCCAGGGAATTTCGTTGAGGAAACAGACGAAATCTGCAACAACTACTATAATTTAATATATTTAAATCATTTATACGGTATTTTAAATATAAATATCAACACACTGCATGCAGAGAGAGGTATATTATGCTGCGTTGCGTATTTATTTCAGGGAGCTCACCCATACAAGAGCAGCGACGTGTGCTGCACGCATACTGACATATGAAGGCTTTTCGTGTTGATATGACGGCGAAATGAATGAAATAAATTACTATGTATTAGAAAAAGAATTTATTTGTTTATTTACGTAATATTTTCACCAAGACGCATGCTGTGAAACCCGTTTGCACGTGTTCGTGAAAAGTAGAGGAGAGGAATAAATAGGATGGAGTGCAACCTTTCCTTTTATGTTTATTGATATATAAATTAATATGCAAAATCGTAATAATTTTGTATTTGCCTATTTTTAGGAATATGTGGCCCCGCTTGTGCCTACAAATACATGAATTCCTACACGTGTGTTCATCGCCCTTTCACGTTCATGTATATATTCAAAAGGGTATAGGAGTTTATTTATACATATTCACTTGCTAATACGCATTATACTCATATGCATATATTGATAAAAGAGCAAATTTATGTTTTTGAGCGTACAAGGTTACATATATGTAGATATATGAATCCGTATCTCAGTTGAACTTGTCACTTCAATTATAATGAATTAAATTCAAATAAATGTGATTTCTGAAGTACAGATTCGAATATATTTGGAAAATGAATACAAACCAATATTAGTATTATTCCTCTTCTTTTGGGCCTTGCTTCGTTTCTTCGTATCTAAACTGATTCAACAATAAGTCCTTCACGTTCGCAGTTCATATCGTTGTACTTGTTGGGTTTTTTCTAATGATATTCACCTCCCAATTGGTGCAAATCATGTTTGACGTATATAATGTGTTTAACATATATATATATATATATATATATATGCAAACCAATATTATCTATAAATGCTAACGCCCAATTGCAAAGAGGCGCAGCAAGAATATTCACATTCACGTTTATTCACTCCACTGAGATTCATTGTGCACCTTTCCCCTAGAAACAGCAGTTTGAATTTATGGAATAATTTTTCAACAAACCGAAACTGCATGTTTACACTGTACGGGCTAGGGCCTAGGGTTTATGCAGGAAGGATTAGCGTTTAAGGTTCTACGGGTTTGAATGAAGCGAAAGGCTTTCAGTCGATCATATGTAAGCACAAATTTTCAGGAGGAAAAATCTTAAGTGCTTCATTTTTACAAACCCCAAATCCCACACCCTCCAGGGTTTATAGCTCATGATTTAGCAGTCAAACGTCTCGCTAAATTTTGAATCAATTTCCAAAGGATAATAACATATTTAACTGAGGTCTGCTGCAGAGATAAGAGAGTATTTTGTTTTGCTTCAGAATTGGTAGAAAGGAAGACGTCCTTCTATAGGGCATTGAGAAGCAGCGTATGCAAAGTCGTAAACCCAAAGCCCAGAATGAAACAGGAACATGAAACCCTAATTCACTCAATTCCTCTTCCGCGAAGACAGTGCGAACCACAGGAGCACAGAGAAACACTAAACCCTAAACCCTAGACAGTAAACCCTTAAGCGCTTCAGCCCCTATGCCTTAAATACATTCGCCTCGTTTGGCCTACAGCATGACCTGAATCTAAATACTGGCCCCTAAACCCTAAACGCTAAACCCTAAACTTCGGGGTATTCGACCTAACCCCATGTATGGCTATTTACGCTTTAGACATGTTTGAGGGTTCAGAGCTTAAGGTTAGGTATAAATGCCTAAAAATGCAAAAAGATTAACGAACAACTCTGGTTTGAACGTCTTAAAGAAAAAAAGAGAAAATTTTGCCTTGCGCGATTGCGAAGGGAGTTCTGAGTATATTCAGGTAACAGGAAATCATATTAGTCGTCTCTGAGATGAAATACGCAAAAAAGGTTTGAGGTTAGAGATGGTGGATTAACTCCTTTGGAGTTCGTTTAGAAGGGCATCCTGAAACGCACACACGCAAATTGCATAAGATGCCCCATTGAGGGAATTGAATATAAGATATTTTATGCATACAGCCCATGCTAAAGACAACATGCAAATTCACTTTTATAGCACTTCCTTAGGATTACCCGATCTGCTACTTTTCCCTGCCATGTCTTTAAAACCCGTCCCTACCGTTTTTCTTCAGGGCCCAGGGTTTAGAGTTTAGTGCCCATCTCTCTTTCAGGGATTAGGGTTTAGTGAGGGTTCAGTAAATTTACCCGGGAGTGGGAACGGGGCCGAACCCGAAGGGTGTGGGTGGCATAGGGGGTTCACCGAAGACGGGAGGAGGGATCGGGGTGGGAGTAGGGAGGTCGACTGGGGCGAGGTTTCTGTAGTTAGTGGTGTTGGATGTTTCAAAAGGAGTTGCATCGATGTTCATGTTTCCAAGGAGATCCATGGGATAGCCAACGCCTTCACCTCCAAAAGGGGGGAATTCAGGGGGAATTCCAAAGCCAGTCATGGGGGGAAGGGGAGTTGGGGTGTTCATGCCGAGGGGAGCACCCATGTTCAAGCCCATAGCTTCAGTACCGAGGGTGCGTGAAGGAGGGACCATGGGGGGGGTGTTCATGTTCATCATTGGGGGGATGTTGTTCATCATGTTCATCATGGGGGGGGTGTTGTTCATCATGTTCATTGGGGGAGGGGTAGGCATGTTGGGGGTGTTCATAGGAGGGCAGTCGGGGCATGTTGCTGGTGTTCCTGGGGTGCCAGGGCGGAGGCGGCGCCAGTAGTAGCTGGGGTAGCCATAGCTGTAGCTAGGGTAGCCATAGCTGTAGTACGGGTAGCTGCTGTAGCCGTAGTAGCTGGGGTAGCTGCTGTATCTGTAGTAGCTGGGGTAGCTGTAGTAGCTGGGGTAGCTGTAGCTGTAGTAGCTAGAGTAGGGGTAGCTGTAGTAGCTGGGGTAGCCGTAGTAGCCGGAGTAGCCATAGTATCCGAACCTGCCCTTTCTGCCCATGTTGCGTGGCTGCTGAGTGTATTCGCCTCTAGGGACGAACTTTGCAACATCTTCCTCAGACATGCCTGCAGCTCTCAGGTTGTGGTACATGCGGTGAAGGAACTCTTCAGCAGCACGGCTAGCCATCGGCGTGGTCTCCTCCTTCTCAATGGCAGTCACACCGCTCATCCAAGCAGCGGTCTGTACACCACGGAGAGATGCCCACAGAGCGTCTACAACAACATCCTGTACACGCACCTCCTTCATGTACTTGCGAGCGGTGCGGCGGAGGGTCTCGGGGTCCATGGTTTCGCTGGCAGTCATGAGTTCGTTAGAACTGTCGATGGCTGCGCTCATTCTGTTGGAGATCATGTCCATCATCTCAGTCACGCGGGTGTATGCGGTGGACTGGTTCTCTGCCCAGTTGAAGGCGTTGCTCAGGTACTCCTGAATATCACGGATCAGCTGGCGCATCATGTTCTCCTGGAGCTGCAGCTGGCGCTGGACAGCTCGGATGAAGTTCTCAAGCCAATTGTCTCCTCCCTCGGAGGTGGGGGAGGTGGTGGTGGTGGTGGTGGTATCATCAGGAGTGCCAGGGGCTCCTCCCTCCTGGTAGGTACCCATTTCAGTGTAAGTAGGAAGGACTGTGCTCTCAACAGAAGTAGTGCTGGGCACTGCCATGGCGGGGCCCACGGCGAGGGCCAGCGCGAGTGTACAGAAACCAAGGCGGGTCATTTGCAACTGCTGCACGGGGTGATGAGAACTCTTAAAGGAAAAGGCGAGAAGAAAAAGGAATGAATGAATGGAATTTACAGCCGAACTCCCGATGTTCTGGGGATTACGAAAAGTAGCTAAACGCCAACAATTAGCATCCTACTGACGTTATCAGGAGGGGAAACACATGCAAAAATAGAAAAAGACAGGTGTCGTTCGTTCGCCCCATCGCGCGGGAAAGCGGCGCGTCTCGTCTCATCATCCCGTCGCGCCCTCTTTTGAGAAATTCAAATTCAAACCGCACTGAAATTTCACTTCATTTATTTTTTTCTTTTATTCTATTTAGGGTTTTCCGCAGTTTACAGGCACAAACGAGCATATTCAACGGAAGGTCGTCATGCGGTCTACTCCTGTAACAGCCAGCGGTTGCGGGCGCATTGTTGTTCCCGGAGCATCGCTTCTACCACCATTTAAGTATGCAAAAATTTAAGGAAGGTAATTGGATTTAAAAGGACATTCTTATTTCATTTCTTCATAAATCCACTCCTCAGGTATCTTTCGTGTGCACGCATACTTCATACCGCTCGGATCGGTACGCAATAGAACCATGTTCCGTACTACGCAGTACACCGCAAATAGAACCAGAAGAACATTATATGCATCAGCACAAACAATAACAATGAAAGAACATGTGATATCTAATGGCCGGAGAAAAGTCCTGTAGGATGCCCCCACAGAGTTATTTCCGACGTTGCCTGCCGTTTCATCTGTCTCGCTCGGCACGATTTTGCAGATTCCCTTTCAGGTTCACACTTCAGGTTGGTAAGGAAGTATCAGTTCTTTAGAGTGTATTATATATAATTTGTAGACCTAGTGTTGGCCGTAAGAATGAACAAAACACATTTCGTGGATAAATTATTCCCCGACACCCTCGGCCATAGGAGATTATTTGTGCGCATATATCCACACTCACATTTACATATCCATATTTTAATTGAAAGTAAATTTATACGATGCATGTGTATGTAAATGAGGAAAATGGAGCGTGTGCGGGCTGTGCTAACAGTTGTCTGTGATTGCAAATAAACTACTGAAAGGGTTAGCAACACTGGATCCCCCCTAGCTTTCTGTACAGCCTAACTTTAAGATTTGCATATTCATCAAGCCTTCATTTTTTATTTTATTGCCTGCAACTGCTGAAACGGGATAAACGCAGCACGCAGCGGCCGCGCTCTAAACCGTAAGCCGTGAAAGAAACAGAGACAGCACTGCACCAGTGCTCATTGTGCATTTCATCTATTCGTGTGCATTCTTTGAATTATTGTTGGGCATGCAACACGAGGCAAAGAACCGAACTAGTCGCCTCCCTCGTACTGTGGAATTGTTACGTTGTAGTTTGGGTGTACATCTTGGTTCTTTTCGTTGTCTATGATACTTGTGGGATTTTCAGTTCGTTTAGTAGCAAAAGATGTATCTAACAGAAGAAGCACAGAATGTAGCCAAACCAAAAGCAGCATAGAGGCCGCCTTCGAATAAAAATCCGCCTCATGTTTTTTTTCGCGAGCAAGCGCCAAACAAAAATACCACACAGCAAAAAAACACACTAGCAACCAAAATACAATAAACAGCCCCTCTGCCCTTAATCCTCCTCAAATATCAAGAAACGGCAATACAAAATTCCTCTGCAGTACACCCCGAACCCCCAACTGCGTCGGGGAAGACAGAGAAAAGCAAGTGAGCAAGACAAAGAGATTCAGTAAACGGAAAAAGCAAAACTTAAGGAAAATATGCAGTTGTGTAATGCGAAGCATATAAACACTACACAAGCAATACAAACGCAAAGAAAAACCAAATAAGCGGCAAATTTCATTTGGTGAATCCACACAACATACATCCAGTAAAAATAAACAACTCAGAGCCGAACCCTTCAAGAGTATAAATCGAAACAATCGAAAGAGACGACCAAAAATGACAGAAGACAAGTAAAAAGGAGACATTCAGAACCGAGCATCGAGGAAAATGAATGTCAATGAGGAGCCAACGAGACACAAACGGCCAGCAAACAAAAAACAAAAATCATTGGATTGGATCTGTTTTCGTTATAAAGCTTCACAATGTGAACATAACGATAAAAAATGATACCGCCATTACAAGAACGGTATTTTCTTCAAAAGCCCGTACATTAGGGACAATGGTAATTGAAAAAGATGATTGTAACTGTAGGCATTAAAATATTATTCAACTGCTTGCAGAAAATAATGCAATTTTTCTGAGCCGAACAACGCGGCAAGGAGTCAGCTAAATACAACTATAAATACATCAGCAAAATAACTCTAAACAATTGGAATTACATTAGTAAATAATACTATAATAAATGCAACTATAAGAAATGCAGCTGTAAACAAAAACGGGCGAAACAAATGCAGCAATAAAGAAATCCTTAGTCTCAAAAGAGATAACTGGCGAATGCTCAGTTTTATTGTATATATTGGTTTGCCCTTATGACGAGCTGCTATAAACACTAAAACAACAGCTCTCTCCAGAGAGGTTAAGCGCGAGGTTTAGGGTTTAGGGTTTATCAAAGCTCTTCAGGCCGTTTAGAAAGGCATTCTGCACAGCAGCAACACAAACAGGAGAACGAAACCCTTAAACCTTTTTCATACACAAATAGACACCTGCAGCACGTTAGTCCAAACCATCCATCGCCTACACTTTCGCACAAGTCAGGAGCAACAGCACGGGCAACAGCAGTAGCAGCAGTAACAACAGCAACTGCAGCAGCAGCAACAGTAACGGGAGTAGAAGTAGCAGTAGCAACATCAGTAGCATCACCATCAACAGCAGCATAAGCAGCAACCGCAGTAGAAGCAACAGCAACCGCAGTAGCCGTAGTAGCAGCAGTATCATCCGCTGGATCAGCAGCAGCAGCGGCAGCAGCAGAAAAAGCAGAAGCAGCTCACGGTTCAACCATCCCGAAAGGAACGAAAGGCACGAAGGGTTCATTGATCATTTCTGGTCCCTCCCAGACTCCGAGGTTTCTAAAGGTTGTTTGTTGATAGCCGCTGTTAGGAGTGACGGCATACCCGTAAGGAGAGCCAAGAGAGCCCATGCGTCCTAGGGGTTGCTGCTGCGCTGCTGCTGCTGCTGCTGCTGATGTTGGGCCCTGTTGCTGAGGGTAGTTAGCGTTGTTTGCAGCAAATGGCATTGTGTTGTAACGAGAGTTCATAGTAGGAGGAAAGCTGTTGTAGTTGTAGTTGTAGTATGAGTTGTAATTGTTAGGGTAGGCTTGTGGGGTTGGCATCATATGTGAGTTGTACCCAAAGGGAACCCCCCCCATCATCATGGGCCCCTCTTCGCCTAGCCTGCGGTGGTGAATGGGTTCAACCTCGTGCATGAGAGGCTCGCCTGGGAGGGGGAGTCTGCTGCTGCACTCGTTGCAGGTGCTGCAGCTGCTGCTGAAGAACCTAGGGCTGCTCCAGCCAAAAGAGGATTGCATTGGGTACCCCCAGCTGTAGTTATATGTATAACGGGGGTAAGCTACAGTAGGGTAGCTGTAAAAGGTAGGATAGGGGTGTGCATAGCCATAGGTGTAATGAGGATATCTGTAACCGTAGTTGTAGTAGCTGTACCCTCTGCTCTTACTGCCCATGTTGCGTGTAGGACTGCTGCTGATGGTTTCCTCTATTACAGTCTTAGGCACATACTTGACGATGTCTTCTTCTGCGATTCCTGCAGCTCTGAGGTTGTGGTACATTCGAGCGAGGAATTCTTCTGCTGCTCTGTTAGCTGCATTGAAGACATCGGCCTCTTCAACATGTCCTCCAATGCCGCCCATCCAGGCAGATGCCTGTACACCCCGCAGAGAGGCCCAAAGTGCGTCTACTACGATGTCTTGAACCCTGACTTCTCTCATGACCTTACGAGAGGCTTCTCGGGCCGCCTGTTCTTCTGCTTCTGCAGTCGAAACCATATCGGTTGCTGCCTCGCGGGTAATAGCCATGCGGCTACTGATCATCTCCAACATTGCATTAACTCTTTCTAAAGCAGAGGAGCCATTCTCGTTCCAGCCGAGGGCATCGGTGAGGTACTCCTGAATGTCCGTCATCAGCTGCCGCATGAGACTCTCCTGCACCTGCAGCTGCTTCTGCACAGCGCGGCTAAAGCCCTCGAACCACTGTTGCGCAGCATCAGGAGCTGCAGTAGAGGTGCTAGAAGAGCTGCCTTCAGCAGCAGGGGTAGGGGTTGGGGTGGGAGCCCCGCTTGGTTCGTAGGTTTCCATCTCACCGAGACGATGATAGGTGCCTTCCAATGGGGTAGGCAGGGCTGAAGAGGGTCCAGCTAAAAGAGCCACGGCGGCCAGAGCACAGGCCGTGAGCCGAGTCATTGTTTATGCTGCTGCGTCCCGCAACGCAGGACACCACAAGCCACACGGAAACGCGGAACAATTACTTTCTGCTCCCAACCAGAGCAGAAAATGCAACCGGATACGCTGAAACGGCAGGCAGAAGAGGAGGGTGGTAGATATAGGTAGACAGCGAACGCAGCGACAGGTGATAGTGACCTGCTGCGAGACGCCTGCGTTGCTGGGAGCTCACCTCAGGACAACTAACAGAATATTTTCAGCAATCATTATTTTTCTATATTGTATAGTTGAAATTTTATTCAAATAAGCATTTAAATACTTACTTACCCACTAGAATAGCATAATGGTAGAGAATAAGCATTTTTTCCCCGGACGCATTCCAGGCTGTTGTCCGCCGTGGTGGTCCGTCCACTCACCGACCACAACTTGCAAAACTTCGAGAACCCCATTTAAGCTAAATCACCTGAAATAAAGCAACGAAATGTTTTAAAATTCTTTTGCGCCTTGGTTCCCTTTAAAAGGGTATATTAAAAGCCGATTTGGAGGATAGGGTGGGGAAACGAGCACTTCGACGACGTCGCCACACGGGGTATCCCTCTGTCCGCTGCAAGTCAAGTCCCAGAGAAAATGTCTATTTCTCCATATAAAAACAAACACAAATAATACTATCGTACTATTTCAACAATGTATATAAGTTAAAGGCGTCTCACACAGCCTTTGTCGTCATTTTGCATCGTTCCCTGCGTACGAGCTCAGGAGGTCCACTGAAGTCAGGGTCGTTTCAACGGAAATGCGCGGATCCTCCCCCCATTATTATTTATCATCGAAGAAATTAAATTTGGTCCAATACTCGTTTTGAGCTGCATTAACCGGTGTGGATAGGTTGCCACGAGGTCACCAAATGATGACGGCATCGTTGAGTTTTGCCCCTGATCACCCATTTGCAACATTTTCATTAAATGGCCCCTAGCTTAGCCTCAAAACCTTCAAGATCTAATTAACCTGCCGGAGACCCATGAAGTACACTTGCATGTGTGGCTGCATATAAACGCAAGAGTCCGGGATGACGACTTGACGGCCCGGCGAAAGCAGGTCAGAGAGTGTTTGCAGCGTGGTAAATTACCAGCAGTTAATATATATATATATATATATATATATATATGTATTCGCGTATATGTAGATATATAT